ATCACCGCCATAGTCTGCATCACTGTATGTGACGAAGATTTCATCTCCTACGGCGGGATCTGGTCCATAAACCAACTTCATATCCATCGTGCCCTTCACATAGCGCAGCAAGTGCTTTACAGCCTTCCAGTGGATCATGCCTGGGTTCGAGTTGAACCTAGCCAATGCACTCGCAGCAAAGGCTATATCAGGCCGGGACATTGTAGCCAAGTACAATAAGGAGCCAACAGCACTCATGTAGGGGACATCCACCATCTCTTGTGCTTCTTCATACGTTTTGGGACAGTCATCTGTGGTCAACTTCATACCTGGAGCCATGGGAGTCCCCACTGGTTTGCAATCAGACATATTAAACTGCGCTAGCTTGTTGACAATGTACTGACGCTGTGAGATGTAGAGTTTGTGGTTGTCCCAGTCTCGTGTTATTTCCATGCCCAGCAGATACGAAGTCTCCCCCAAGTCCCGCAACTTGAAATGCTTTTCCAGCTCAATCACAAACTTGTCCAGAGCATCCTTTGATTTTGAAGCAAGAGTGATATCATCCACCCACACTGGGACTATGATTCTGACAGTGCCATCATCATAGATGTAGAGCGAGGGGTCAGAGTAAATCTTCTTGAATCCCATTGAATGTAGTGCTTCACCCAGCTTCTCACTCCACAACCGAGGTGACTGCTTCAACCCATACAGAGACTTGTTCAATTTACAGACTATCCTTCCTTGACCCTTGGTTACACCTTGCTTAAATCCCTCAGGCTGCTCCATATACACCTCAGCATCAATATCACTGTTTATGAATGCCTGTGAAATGTCAACTGAGCGCAAGTGCAGATCATCTCTAGCAGCTAGAGCGAGCACAGTCCTGATGGTAGCATGTCTAGATGGCGAAGCAAAGGTCTCATTATAGTCAAATCCGGGCCGTTGACTAAATCCTTTAGCAACAATCCGACCCTTGAACCGTTCAATGCTTCCGTCTGCATGATATTTGACCCGAAAGACCCATCTGACTCCAATTGCCACTTTTCCTTCTGGCAAAGGTTCCAGTGTCCAAGTCCCATTAGCAAGCAGCATATTGTATTCAGCTAGTGCAGCCTCATGCCATTGTGCAGCGTGAGGCGACCTCATTGCCTGAGCATAAGTCTCTGGCTCTACTAACTTGCCAACAGGACCAGCCTCCAAAGCTTCTTCTTCAGACTGAGAATCATCATCATCTAAAGCAGGAGTTGGATCTCGCATTTCCCAGACGTCCGGAGTTGCCTCCCTGGCCTTTGGAGGTGCAGCAGGAACCTTCCACCATTCCCCTGGAGGTCTGATGTCGCGTTTTGGTCTTCTTACAGCCACAGGTCTATCATCGACTTCAGCTTCATCATCACTGTCATCCACACGGGGTGCAGCTCTCCTGCGACGAGGACGAGGTGGGGGAGTCTCTTCTGGTTCTGGTGTCTTGTTATCATCCTGTTGCGCTTCACCCTCCACCTGTTCTTCTTCTTTCACATTATCATCAGTGTCATCCTCACTGCTATTGTCCTCATCGTCATTATCAACTGCAGGCAAGTCTATGACCCTTTGCTGAGCATTGTCTTTCGCCTTTGATGGTGCCTCTGGTGCGCTCTGCTGACTGGTTTTCGATGGAGATGGTTCTGAGAGGTCGTGCTCATCAATGCCCTTCAGAAGTTGGCCACTGTAGGTGTAGCGCTCATCAAAGTCTGCACGTTCACAGATGATGACCTTCTTCGTCTTTGGATTGTAGAATTTCCAACCCTTGTACCCATCAGGATACCCAATGAATATGCACTTCTCCATATGCGAACCCAAATGCTCCCTCTTGTCCTTCTGGACATGCACATAAGCAACACATCCCCATACCCGCAAATGCCCAACATCAGGTTTTCGTCTATGCCACACCTCATATGGCGTAGCATGAGCTACTGAAGATGTAATGCATCGGTTCAAGACATGAACAAGTGCAGCCAAACACTCAGCCCAAAAGGCCTTTGACAATCCAGCCTCATCCAGCATTGCAGTGATCCGTTCACTAAGCAGTCTGTTTGCACGCTCAGCCACTCCATTCTGCTGTGGTCTGTTTCGCACTGAGAACTGCCTTTCTATCCCATGCTCCTCCAAATACTTGTCAAACTCCTTGCTCATGAATTCACCACCCTGGTCACATCTGAAGACTTTGATGTGTTTGCCAGTCTGGTTCTCAGCCCAGCTCATCAGCTCTGTTGGCTGACGAAGGAAATGGATTTGCATGCATCTTCCCAGTCAGACAGGGAATACAAACAGGATCTGGCTTTGCAGAAGAGTCCAGTGTCAGTCCAACCACCATTTCATCCTTAATCATCTGCTTAATTCCGTCATGGTGTTGGTGGCCAAGCCGTCTATGCCATAGTGTCAGATCCAAAGGCAGAGTGGACGCAACATGAACAAATTCATTTGTATCTACTGTACTACCATCTAAATAGCCTATACCAGCATCATTGATTGTAGCACAGAACAAAAGAACATCATTACGAACAAACTCCATTTTATCCTTTGTGATATGAACATTAAAGCCTTTATTTCGAGTCAAATACAAAACAGCAAGCAGATTATTGCACAATGCAGGAACATAGAGTACTCTAGTGATCTCCACATCTCTAACTTGTCTACCATTAACTACAGGTCTAAAGAGCACATTTCCGACGCCCTCACTATATACAATGGTGTGATCCGCTAGCCTGATTGGCACTCTATATGTGGTATAATTGCGAATCCATTCTTTGTGAGGTGTCATATGAGAAGTGGCCCCTGTATCTGTATTCCAATGGGTATCATTAGAAAATGCAGCGCAAGCTTCATCCATAGAACGAGCACTTGCCTGACCAGCAAACTCCGTCGCAGCATCTGCCTTTGCCACTGCCACTTTGGCATTGCTCCCCCCTGATCCACTTTCTTTGTTGCTAGCAATGACCTTCTTCAATGCTTCGCAATCCCTCTTCCAATGACCCTTGCCCTTGCAGAATGAGCAGGTGTCTGCATCAACTGTGGGGTGACCTCTGCCCTTTCCATTGTATGCCCCACCCTTCTTTCCATAACCCTTGTGACTGGCTCTATTCGCTTGCTCAGTCTGGCGCTGACGATTAAGCTCTTCGCTTCGGAATGCTTGGAGTATAGTATCCTTGTCCAGCTTTTCCATTAGCAACAAAGAAGCTGACAAGTGCTTGTATTCATCAGGCAGAGCCCGAATCAATGCCATGCACTGCAGCTCTTCGTCTAACTGCTCAATGGTAAAGCCTGTTGGACGCAGATTTTGGATATTAGCCATTGCCTTGCTAATCCTGACTCCCAAATCGATGAGACCTTCGTTGTCCTCCTTGTGGATTGAGAACAGGTCATCATAAGCATTGAAGCGTGCGCCGGGCTTCTTGGATAGGTGTGCCTTCTCTATGGCAGCCCACATTCCCACTGGATCATCCTCTAGACCTCGGAAATGAATCCTTTGGTCTGCTTCCACCAACAGGTAAATCTCCCCAGCAGCCTTTTCAGCTTTTGCCTCCCATTTGGTCAGCTCAGCCTTGTCTGAAGGTTTAGATTCCCTTCCAGACACTAGTCTCCACAGCCCCAGTCGCATCAGATAGGCCTTGGCTTCACCACACCACTCCTGATAGTTGGAGTTGGTCAGTGGCTTCACCTTGACCCCATTATCTGAGCTTGAACTAGTAGACATAGTGCAACAATACAATTTATAGTCTTGTTTGACTGACAATTAACAGCTTAGAGTCCTGTGATGACTATGAATGACAGCTTAGAGTCCTGTGATGACTATCAATAACAGCTTAGAGTCCTGTAGTGACTATCAATAACAATGTTATAGTCTTGTTGTGACTTTCAATAAGCTCCAATAGGCCAAAATGCGAGATCAGTACTCAATGAGTCACTAGATCAATCACAATAAACCCCCAGTATAACAATAGGCAGCAATTCAATTATGCAGGAACAATCAATCAGTGTTGTCAAGTTAGAGCTCAGGGCCCATAACCTGTTAAACTTTAGGCTATTATAGTCTGATCAGAAGCTTGTAGAAGCGTCCTAATACACTCTAATTGCCTTGGTAACAATCACTAATGATGTTGATGCAATCAATCAATAATATGTAATGATTTGCGCTCTATTGACTCTTTGTGTCTATTACTCTAGACATGTATGGAAAATGACCATCCCAGGTTCCCACGGGTACTGTTCTGCGCGAGGCGTGAATATAGCTGTCCACTAAATCGCGTCCGAATTTGATTAGCTCCGGAGCAGCTTGGGAACATGCCAGACATCATTCTAATGATGGCTCCATGTTTCATTTTCGCTCCTTTTGCTTCCCTGCTGAGACCGAGGCGTTCCGGTGCCTGTTCCGGCGGTCACAATAGAGGTCAATAGACCTACTAATGGGGCGCTGAACGTGGGAACGTTGCATTGACCGTGGGAGTCGTGCGCTTGTAAAGTATGTACAGATTGCTAAACAGTGCTTGCGCACTTTTAGCAATCCTGTCAACACCAGTCATCCCATGATGACCTGGGTCGTCCCATGGGTGTTGGCAGTGTCTATGGGTGGTCCCCAATGCGTGGGAACCGGGCGCTTGGTATAGCGCAACTTTGTTATACATTTGTACAACAAGTGTGCACATCACTTCAACACATTTTTGCTCCTTTTGCTTCCCTGCTGAGACCGAGGCGTTCCGGTGCCTGTTCCGGCCGTCACAATAGAGGTCAACAGACGTACTAATGGGGCGCTGAACGTGGGAACGTTGCATTGACCGTGGGAGTCGTGCGCTTGTAATGTATGTACAGATTGCTAAACAGTGCTTGCGCACTTTTAGCAATTCTGTCAACACCAGTCATCCCATGATGACCTGGGTCGTTCCCATGGGTGTTGGCAGTGTCTATGGGTGGTCCCCAATGCGTGGGAACCGGGCGCTTAGTATAGCGCAACTTTGTTATACATTTGTACAACAAGTGTGCACATCATTTCAACAGATTCCCCCATCTCCAAGGTACAAGTAGGCAGCGGCCACAAGCTCACTGATCTTCAGATTGTCCATGAAGATCATGGTCGAGTTGCTGAAACCTGCAAGTAGGCGGATGGACTCCAAGACAAAGGCTTTCCAGACTTGTCTGTGAGTGAGGGTGAATGAAGCTCCACTGGGCTGGACAAATGAATAGTTCCAGAACTCCGTTATTGCTGCTGTCGAAGCATGGAAGCTGTAGTTGGCATTCATGACAGCCTTGGAGACAATGCGATCCACCCAGACCTGCTTGCCAACTTTGAGGTACTTGGCATTGGGAAGATAGAGTGCGAGTTGTCGATTGTCGTCAATGAAGCTCTCATGGTCTGCCCAGAACATGGTGGAGCACTTGGGACATCTACCAGCCAATACCGGAACCTTCTCAAAGCACTCACTTCCACGAAGCAAGGTGACTTTGGAGATATCACGTTCACGGAGGTATTGAGTGAGACCATGGCCATGACAGCCAGCAGTAGAGCAGCCCATGACAGGAGGGGTGATGATGATGATAGGCCGAATGGAGGAAGTGGAAATGGGAAGGAGTTTGCGACGTAGCTGGCGTTTATCGTTATGCGTGTAGAGATCCAGAGAGTGGCAGAGAGAGTCAATTTTTTTACCAAGTATGGTGGTCTGGCTCTTTGCAGAACACGATTTGTGGTTGTCGCTGGCCAGAAAGAGAGTATCAAAGACAGTCTCAGCATTTACAGAAGTGTCAGAGGAGCCAGAGCTAGAAGAGCCAGAGGAGTCCATGTCTTCATCAGATCCAGAGTTGGAATTATTGTCAGAGGCATCCATATTGTCCTCAGAGGACCCAGAGTCTGAATCGACATTGCCAGCACCAGCATCATCATCAGAGTCGCCAGGGACGTCAGAGACATCAACCTGAAGCTTGTCTTTAATGGCACGAACAAAGGCTGCCATCCAGCTAGTGACGACCTGGTTGTTACTACTCACAGCCCTCTGCTGGCCATGCAAGTTGAGAATGTCGGTGTTGGTGGTGATGCTGAAGAGGAGCATCAGGACTGTGGCCAGACTGATGTTCTCACCAAAGGTCAGCTTGATGACTTTTGCAAAGTCAGCAAACCGGATGTTGGGAAATGGGTCCTCCAGAGGAGCTGCAGCGGCACATGGAAGGAGTCCTAGCAAGAAAAGGACGGATAGCACCATCCAAAGACCCTGTAAACAGAAACTGGGCAAGTCAGTATTTGTTGAAATGCATTGAAGTTCAAACAAAAAAGAACAAGTGAAATGACTGTTGCATTTACACTAATACAAAGAGTAAGCTACCTACTTTGTAGCCTTCTTAGCTGCAGACTTCTTCTTTGCCTCTTTGGCCTTCTTGGCCTTCTCAGCGACGACTTTTGCCTCCTCTGCTGCAAGCTCTGCCTCCAACTCATCCAGAACCTTCCCCAGAGTCATCCTGCCAACTTCACGACCTCCCCAGACCTTCGTATGAGCCTCAGACGTAAAGTCGTAGTCGGGGTTCTGCAACATGTCCATGAGCATGGGGAACTTGAGACAGCGTTTGAAGAGGGCTCCATAGGTGCCGAAGTTTGTCCTCTTGATGAAAATGGAGCAAAGGACAGCCTCCTCAACAGGAGCTCCATCCCATGGAGTGGTGAGCCTGTTCCACTTGGCCATGGCGCCTACAGCAAGCTGATAGCGGGCATACATGTTGACCAGACCACCATTACCCTTGCCACTGTTGGTCATATGGAGTGGCACCTCCATACGAGTGGCAATTCGTAGAAGAAGAGGGTCGTTGGGGAAGGCGGTGATGAGGCTGTTGACGGGAGTGGTGGAGGTGCCAGCGACGGAGATGGAAGCGGAGGGGGCGATGGAGGAGACTGCTGAGGAAGCAGAAGTGGAGTTGATGGAGGGGGAGGGAGGCAGAAGGTAGGAGAGGTTGACCTCAGATGGTTGCTGAAATGGTGTCAGAATTTTTTCAAGTCAAGTCGGAATTTACGTACAATTCCAATTCTGAGTATATTCTCATCATCCCAAATGGCAGCCTCATTGTTGTCGACAGCAATGGCGTAGGGGCCCTTTACTTCCCACATGAGGGTCTTAGCATCCCAGAGAAGGATGTCAGAGCCTGTTGGCAACCAATAAGTCAAAAACGCGAAGTAGAAAGAAGAAACTTACTAATAAGGGCCACCATCTTCTTGGCAGCAGTGGTGAGGACAGGCCCCAGAGTGTTCTTGATGGGGACTTTCACCGCAAGAGGTGTGGGACCCTCCAGAGGCAATGCCCCATTCTTGAAGACGTGAACCATGCCCATGACAGGAGGGGCATCAGACTCCATGTTGGTGTCTGAATATCAAGTCAGAATTGAACTTGATAGCAAAAGAGAGAACTCACCAAAGTCAGCCATGTTGAGGGCAACACCCATGGCCTTGCCTCTAGCGACACCACCCATGGTGCGGGATGCACCTTGCAAATCCTCAAGGTCATCAGACGTGGGAGAGGGAGAAGCTCGACGGGAAGAAGCACTGGCATGGGTGATGCCCTTGCGCAAACCCTTACCCATCTGACGAGTGGTGGTGGGCGAAGTGCTGGCCCTGCGCTTGGAAGCGGTGGTGGGTTTGGCGGGAGTGGCAGGGCACTTGGGAGTGGTGGGGTCAACCTCCATGGTGTCGTCGTCGTTGTCTGACAAGTCAGCATGCATGGGCACCTCAGCGGAATCGTCCTCATCGTCGTCCTCATCGTCGTCAGTCTTCTTCGGCTCACCATCTTCATCGCCATTGCTACCAGCATCAGCATCTTTCTCCTTGTCGCCCTCTTCATCAGACTTCTCAGCCTCGTCGTCTTCTCCTTCATCTATCTCCTCTGTGTCTGATGAGCCCAAGTTAGTGAGGTCTCTACCTTTGCCTTTATCTTTGCTGGCGATCTGGGGTATGTCCTCTGGCTCTTCACGCCTGATGCGAGACGTGGTGATACTTGGAGTGATTGGAGCCAAGGTGACTCCAGTCCCAACTCGACGAGCAGGTGGTGCAAGCGGAGCACCACTCTCCTGAAGCGTCCTGGCAGTACTGGTGCGAAAAGATGAGTTGTACAATCACAAATAATGACAAGCAAAGACTTACGCAGTCAAATTCTCTACCATAGTCTCATTAGCTTCTTCATCAGCTGCATCACGGTCAGCAGAGGTGCTACGGACAATGAGCATAAGCAAACAGAGGGATACAGGCAGTAACTCACATATTCTTGTTCTTCTTAGCCTTGGTTTGTTTCTTCTTGGTTACAGGGATGTCCACACTATCAGAAAAGGTTTGTTAATTGATTGTTAATTTATTTGAGATTTAAAAGAATTTATTTATATTTATTCTATCTACTACTCATGATGTATGACTACTGACTACTGGTACACTACTGGCAATGACAAACTCACATGAGCTCCTGCTGCATGGCCTTGGTTGCAGACCTGGTGGACCTGGGCTTGGTAGAAGCCCTGTGGATGGGGGCCAAGGGGGGGATCAGGGGTACATGTTGATGACCAGGGGCCAGGGGTAGACAGGGGGTAGGGGTGAGGTGTAAGGGTGCGGGCGTGCGTCGTCATCGAGAACAGGGTGCAGGTGTGCATCGTCGTCGAGAACGGGGTGCGGGGATGCGTGGGGTGCGTCGTCGTCGAGAACAGGGTGCGGGTGTGCGTCGTCGTTGGCGACGTTGAGAACGGGGTGCGGGGGGTGCGTCGTCGACGAAAACGAGGGTGCGGGGGTGCGTGGGGGTGTGTCGTCGAAAACGAGGGTGCGGGGGTGCGTGGGGTCATCGACGACGAAAACGAGGGCGTGGGAATGTGTGGGAATGCGTGAGGTCGTCGACGACGAAAACAAGGATGCAGGGGGTGGCGTGGGGTCGTCGACGTCGAAAACGAGGGTGCGGGGGTGCGTGGGGTGCGTTGTTGTTGTTGTTGTTGAAAACGAGGGTGCGGGGGTGCATGGGGTCATTGACAACGAAAACGGAGGTGCGTCGTCGTCGTCGTCGAAAACAAGGGGTGCGGGGGTGTGTTGTCGTCGTCGTCGTCGAAAATGAGGGCGTGGGGATGTGTGGTGTTGGCGTCGAGCGCGCGGGCGAGGGCGAGGGTGTGGGTGTTGGAAATGGGAACATGGGGGATGTGGGCATAGGGCATGGGACATAAGTGGGGGCAGTGTCAGTGAAAAAAAAAAGAAAAAACTGGGGGACACACTCACATTGTGGTCCCCTCCTCCTCGTTCTTGCGCTGCGTTGAAGTGGGCTTGCGTGGGGGCATATTGCTGTGGTGGATTGTTGGGGGGAAGGCAGGGGGATTGGGGATGGTGGTGGTTGAAAAGAAGAGGCGTGCCAGCGTGGCACGGCAGTCACATGCGCGTGGCGTCGCGCTGATTGCCGAAAATAGGCGCCCGTCCACAAAAAGAAAAAGAAAAAGAAAAGAAAAAGAAAAAGAATATTAATAATCGTCAATAAGCGCCAAATAAGCGCCCGTCCGAGGAAAATGACTTATCATTAGGATAACTGTTGCTAACCCATTTCTGGCTGTCCCAAAGCGGAAATTACACCAGAAAATGCCAAAAAACCTCAAATAAATTGCCAGAAAATCATAGAAAATCATAGAAAATGCAATAAAATGAGATAAAATCATAACAACACTACAAAATAACATATTGTCCATGACATTGCCATATGATGTCCACATGAATGCCAGATGAACTCCACCTCAATACTAGCACTTTGTCTACCTGGTATATGGGTGGCATTCATGTGGTGTTCAGGTGGAAATTCAAGTGAATACCACATGGACATCACATGGATACCACTCATCCAGTATGGCTCACCTGGTGTCCACCTGGTAAAAAAGTGGCCAAAAGTGGTAAAAAAGTGGCATTTCTGGGCCATTACAGCCAAACCAAAATCCACCTTTTTGCCACTTGAATGCCAGGTGAGTCCAGGTGAACACCAGGTGAATGCCACCCACCCACCTGGTTCCACCTGGGGTCCAACCGAAGATGTGGTGGATTGTCAGGTGCTCAAAGAAGATCATAAAAAATAATAGGAGTATTTATATACTCCATAAAATCAGTTAAACTACTAAAATCCACATTTTGCCCATATGGCGACCACATTTATACCAGATGAATACCACTATTTGCCATATGTGGCACCCACATGGTATTAAAGTGGTATCCACATGGAAATTCATATAAGTACCACATGGCTACCACATGAATACCACTTGCCCACTTTTGTCCTCTGGTGTTCACGTGGTAAAATAGTGGCAAAAAGTGGTCAAAAAGTGGTATTTTCCAGCCATTTCTGCAAAAAAAAAGGAAATGGGGGAATATAACGGGCATTTATTCGCGAAATCTTACCATGACAAATCAAAGGGGCATCGAGTGATGTGCTCAAGTCTCTGATGGCCTCATCTAGTGTCTTGTGATTTGGATGAGGAACCCCCATGACCAAGATCACCTTGGATTTCAACTCGTCGCCCAGTTGACCCGAAGACTGCCATGTCTTGTAATTGTGATAGGAGACGGGTTTTATCAGTACGCCTTCTTTTCCGGTTGTGTATGGCGGAGCTGAATCCCCATACTGTAAGGGCAACCTCAAGATAGCCGCACAGTGCAAGCCTAGCAGAGGGAGAATCCAAAGAGATGAATAAGACTAACTGCAATACATGAGAGAGCTGCTCACCTAGCAGAGGGAGAATCCAAAGAGAACAGGATAAGGATTCTCCATGCTAGGAAGCGAAGTATATACTGTAGTAGCGTGGGAGGAATGAAGGGTAACTGTACAGTACACCAGCCACAGGTACGAACGAATATCACAAGGTACGAGGGGGCATGTGATAATGAAGTGGAAGGGGAATGTACAGGAGTTGTGCCAGCGACCTGGGGAAGTGGGGACAAGGAGTAATGAAGTGGGAAAGGAGGATAGAGGTAGCCCGGACGAGCCCCGAAGTGTATCTACGAGACCGAGGTGAGTCCGAAGTGCGGGAAGACTTCGGAGTCACCGGACGGGGCTCAGATGCGAAGGGAGTGAACGGAAGGGAAGCGGAAAGGTAAGGGGACAAAAGGAAAGGAAAGGGAATGAAGGAAAGGGGAAAGGAACGAGGAGGAAGGGGGCGGGACAGGGGGAATAGGAGAAAATAGGAGTGTCCCCTTACATCACCCCCCCTTCAAGGTTGCGGCGACCCGATGCGAAGATTCCTGCCTGCCGCGCCATGAATTCACCAACCCCGAAACTCCGGATTGCTGCGAGAAGATGTCGAAGTACGACTGCGCGGAGCCCGGAGCCTTCCGACTGCGCCAACGCTCCCAGGACTGGTCCAGTGCCGCAGGAGTCATCCGGAGAGGTAGAGCAGTCGTCGGATTCATCGGACTCGTCCGGAGTACGTGTACTGCGTCCGGGTGACAATCATGGAAGTCCTTGACCTTCCGGGCGGCATGCTGGAGGTTGCTCGCGGGCTCCCAGGAGTCGTGCTCGATACCATAGCCTCGCCAGCGCACCAGATACTTCAGGACCCGACCGAACCGTCTGCTATTTCGGACCTCTTCTACCTCATGCTCCTCTTCTCCGTCAACGAGCTGCGGAGGTGGCGGAGCGACAGGGCATCTACCCGGGATGGGGTCCGGAACGAAGGGAGAGAGTTTGACCACTGGGAAGACGGGATGGAGACGGGATAAGCCCGGAGGGAGCTGGAGCCGGTACGCTGCCTTGCCAACCTTCCGGACGACCTTGTAAGGACCAAGTCGTGCGTGTCCGAGTTTCCGGGAGGGTCGGGCAAGGTTGATGTCCGACGAGTCCAGCCAGACCTTGTCACCCGGTTGGTACTCCGGAGCGGGAGTCCGACGCTGATCGTAGTAGCGCTTCATGTCGTCCTGAGCCTTGACCAATGTGGACTGAGCCTCGTCGACTGCGGATTTCATCCGGTCTACGAACTCGTTTGCGGACTCCATCCGAGACGGTGGCTGATGAGGTTCGAACCCAAGACGAGGATGACGGCTGGTATCCAGGAGGAAGGGTGACTGCTGAGTGGACGCATGGACCCGGTTGTTGTACGCAAACTCCGCCATAGGTAGGAGGCGAGCCCAGTCGTCCTGACGCTCTCCAACGAAGATCCAGAGATAGGACTCGAGTTCCTGGTTGGTCCGTCCGGTCTGTCCATCGGACTGAGGGTGGTACGCAGTGGAGGCAGCCAGCTTGATTACGAGCATCCGGTAGACTTCCCGGGTGAACTCTGCAACGAACTGCGGACCCGGGTCGGACACAACAGACCAAGGGAGTCCATGCAGCTTCCAGACGTTCTGCAGGTACAAGTTTGCGGATCCGAGGGCAGACACTGTGGTGTGAGCCGGAATGAAGTGGGCGCGTTTGCTTACAGAGTCGACCACGTTCATGACAGCATCAAACCCATCGGACTCCGGAAGCTCGACAATGAAGTCAACACTCAGGCGATCCCAGCGTTCATCCGGAATGGGAAGCGGATGGAGTTCACCCATGGGTGGATGCCTTTGGGCCTTCGTCCGGAGACAGAGGTCGCAATGGCGGGTGTAGAATCCGACGTACCGGGACATGTTGGGCCACCAGTAGCTGCGCGAAACGAGTTCGAGGGTCTTCCATCTGCCGGCGTGTCCTGCGACCTTGGTGTCATGGTGCTGGGCTACAATGGTCCGACGCAAGTCCGGTGAGTCCGGAACGTAGATCTTACCCCAGAACATCAGGAGTCCATCCGATTGAGACCATTCCGCGCTCCGGACTGTCTTGCGACTGCCCTGGGTCTCCTTCAGCTCCTCCGCCGCCTTTGCCACTGCATCTTCAAACTTCGCATTCCGCACTCCAGTCCGGATAGCCGTGAGGATATCCTTCTCCTCCCCTTCAAGAGTGACACCCGTGGCACGGACGGCAAAGTAGGACGGCTTAAGTAAAACCACATCCTTGTTGTCATCCTTACCATCCGAGTGATCCGAGCGGCGCGAGAGAGCATCCGGCTTACCCATTGTCCGACCCGGACGGTGCTGGAGAGTGAAGTCGAAGCGGGAGAGGTATAGCGACCAGCAGGCTTGACAACGATTGAGTTTCTGGGCCTTGATGAAGTACTCCAGGTTCTTGTGGTCCGTCCAGATCTCGAACGGAGTCTCTGCGCCTTCCAAGTAGTGTCGCCATTCTTCGAGTGCTCGGATGATTGAAAGCATCTCCTTGTCGTGTATTTCGTAGTTCCGCTCCGCAGCCTGTAGACTTTTAGAGTAGAATGCGACAGGATGCCATTTACCATCATCCGGATCCAGCTGCGACAAGACCACACCCGTAGCGTAATCCGACGAGTCCGCTTCAACCCGGTATGGCCGATCCTCCTTCGGAAAGACCAGAACGGGCTCCGAAGTGATCAGCTCCTTGATCCAAAGAAATGCGGATTGAGCGGAGTCGTTCCACTGCCATTCCTTTGCGCAAGTGAGGTCGAAGAGAGGCTGGGCGATATGCGAGTAGTCCTTGATGAAGCGGCGGTAGAAGTTGACGAACCCGAGGAAGGATTGGAGTTCAGTCCGAGTCCGGGGGGTCGGCCAGTCCGCGACTCCGGAAACCTTCACGGGATCCATCTCGATCTTACCCTCAGAGATGACAACTCCGAGATACTCCACCTTGGTCTGCTCGAAGTCGCACTTGTCCGCTCGGAGGAAGAGCTTGTTCCGCTGGAGGATCTCTAGGACTCGCTTGAGAACCCGGCGATGCTCTTCGCGCGTCTTGGTGTAGATCAGAATGTCATCCAGATAGATAATGACCACACCTTCCGTAATGAGCTCCCGGAAGAGGTCGTTCATCATGGTCTGGAAGGTGGATGGGCTATTCGTTAGTCCGAAGAACATTACCAACGGTGCGAAGAGTCCGCGCGTAGTCCGGAACGCGGCCTTCCACTCGTCGCCCTCCTTGATCCGGACGTTGTTGAAACCCCACCGGACGTCGAGCTTGGAGAAGTAGCGAGCGTTCCGGAGTTTATCCACCAAGTCCGAGATGAGCGGAAGTGGGTACCGATTCTTGACCGTCATGCTGTTGAGCTTCCGGTAGTCCTGGACCAAGCGGAGCGATCCGTCCTTCTTCTTAACAAAGAACACCGGGGCAGCCATTGGCGACTTGCTGGGGCGGATCCGACCAGTCCGGAGATTTTCTTCCAGAAACTCGTCCAGCTGTTTCTGCTCCGCGGGGGACAGCGGGTAGCATTTGGTAGAGGTTGGTTCCGCTCCGTCCATTAGCTCAATGGCGTGATCCCACAGACGC